TTTGCTCACTTTGTTTAATTTTAACAGCTTCATGTCTAGAACATTGGTTGTAGACGGAGCATAATGATTTAAAAAAACACCATATAACAAAAAGCTCTAAAATCTTGATAGGCTTTGTGAGCTAAATTGGAAATTCACAAAAGAAAAAGAAAAGTCTTTAATACAAAAAACAAATTAAAAAATCTTCATCACACTCACCAAATGATGCAGTGGGTCCAGCCCATGTCTGTAAAGCTCTGGCATTGATTGAACTTCCAGAAGAGATGTCTCAGTCTGGAATGAACCATGACTGTCACACAGAAGATGATTAGCTGTATTTAGCACTGGAATTTGAACTGGACTTTTTGTCGTCAAGCTTCTTTTTTTTTCTTTGTTTGTTTTGGCAAAAACAAGTGGAAACATGATCTGTATGTGAGAAAAAATGCCAATAATGCCTCGAACATGGTTGCACATAAAAACCAAAAGAATTTAAGTTCGTATCAAGTACAAACCTGTAGAGAATGAGCCAAAGGAAAAGCACGTGGAAAGAGAGCGGGCCTTCTTTGCATATAAAAGTATTGCTTAGTAATGTTAGGGTGGGATGAAATGACTGATGATGTGTTTATCATTTTCAAAGTGGGAGGATTTGAATAATCTTAGACACAAGAATAAAACCCATGCAGATCTGATAACTATCTTTATTCAAACGTAGTAAAAGACAGGCGTTGCAGTGATTTAAAGATAATGCATTGACTTACAGACAGTAAATCAATAACTGAATTTATATAGTTTTTTAATGATATATAGATTAAAAATTCTCAAATCAAACTCCACAACAGAGAAAATTTAGTTTATTATGCAATTTTTTTTCTCATCGTGTATTTACACCTTGTTGTTCTGAATTACTGTAACTTTAGTTCTCCTGCATGGTCTTCTTGATCCAGTTCAGGTAATTAGCGACTCTGGTATAGACTCCATATGTGCCCTTTCCTCCACACTCAACCCCCCAGCTGACAATCCCAGCAGCCCATTGTCGCCCATCTTTAGTCAGAGTGAAGGGGCCCCCAGCGTCACCCTGGCATGAGTCCTTCCCACCTTCAGGGAGTCCAGCGCAAAACATGTTATCTGTTAAGTCTGGTATGTTGTTCCTTCTTCTCCTTACTAAACTGATTGAATCCCTGCATGTCTGCTGGTCCACCACTGGGAGATAAACATACTTCAGTTGATTTGTTAGAATGCGACGATTATACTCGTTTGTAACACCAAAGCCAGACACCAGCCTGAAAGAATACAAAACACATTCATTGTGGGTTCAGTAAAAAATTTTTACTAATCCAGAACCTAAAAGATAATAGCTTGTCAACTTAAATTGGTTAACAAACAACGAGAGCACTTAAAAGTAACATCAAATTTTATACAGTGTAGATGACATTAAAGAGACCGCAAAATCATTATGACACAATAGCAGTTTGTTTACCCCATCACGCCAGTATCATATGTGGCTCCTGGTTCTGGCAAACACACTGGCATTACAGATGAGTTGAATGTGAGTGTGTCTTCCAGTTTGATCAGGGCAATGTCATTGTTGTAGTCAACATTGTTGGTGTTGTTGTACTCAGGGTGAACATGGATTGAGGCAGCAAACAGAGGAGATTTTCTGAGGGCTTTTATCTCATTAAGTCCCATGAAAATCTGCAAGTCAATATCATGAAAGGAAAGATTTACCAAGCGAATCCCAATCAGACAGAGATCATAAAAAGTAATGCTCACAGTCAACTACTTACCCGTACAGATTCATTTGATACCGCCACTCCCCTCTCCACTAGAGAATGGGCTGCTGTCATAATCCACCGGTCTCCAATCACCATGCCTCCTCCCCTTCCTCCACTTACAATCAGTAGCACTTGCCAGGGGATTGTATTATCCGGAGCGTCTTGGCCTCCAAAGATCCTCTGATACACATTGATGTGATTTGTTGGCTGACCACAGACTGGATAAGATGAACAGAACTCAGGTGCATGCAAGCAAAGGCTTCATGCTTTCATTTTGAAGTCCTAAAATTGTTATTAGAGTATTTTATTTTGACAGCACATCAGTACCTTCTATGCAGGTTGGGAGAGGGAGTTGCCACTGCCCGTCACTTTGACACATGGCTGAGAATGTCTTAATCTCTTGTTGTCCCTGAAAATATATGACTGTTACACACGTTTTCTAATTGACAAATTCACCGAAGAAAAAAACGAAAGAAAAATGAAGAAAGATCTGCTTCTGTTGCTCAAACACAGACACATGCAGATAGCAAAAAAAACCTCTATAAATATCCTGTGAGGGAAAAGAGGCTGTTAATAAAGTTCACTGATGCACACTGTAGTAAACAATGAAATGTCATATTACCATCATCAACTTGTATTCTTGGTCGCAAGTGACATGGATCGAGTCTCCACTAAAGTATTCATTTAAATCAGGAGTGATCCTGCCTTTTGTCACACTCCCTGGGTGCGGGCATTTCACCTCTGTAAAGAATGCAGCAACCAAACATGAATGAACAGCATGAGAAAAATAGTTTTAAACTGCTAACGTGGAAATGCCACCTCTCCTCCTCACCATGTGTGCTATATTGCAGGCTCCAGCCGTTGCTCAGACCTTCCTCCTCAGTGTGGTAGTCCAGCCTGACTGTACTGGAGTTCGTAACTATCAGACCAGGACTCTTTGTTCCACAAAATCTCATAGCTAATCTGCCTGGAATGGTCACCTATGAGGGGAAAAATAGTGGAAGGCTACATACAGACCAGAGGAGCATGGTTTGTAACTTTTAATCCCTGTGGGTACCGCGAGTCGTTACCTTTAAAAAGTGACCTTGGCAGCTTGAACCATGCTGATTATCTTTATTATCAATGTGAAAATTGTCTCTGAAGTTGAGCGTCACGATGTATCTGGGCTCCACAGAGATGATGTACTTGCAGGAGAGAAAAGGGGGTGAGGGTTTAGGATACCCTGGACTGGTCAGATGTCCTTCATGCTTGTCAAAAACACACCCACCACAGGACGCTGGGCAAGAACCAAAGGTTAGTATAATAATAACAGTAAGAGAATCAGTAATCAGCAGTGTTGGTCAAGTTACTTGAAAAAAGTAATCAGTAATTAATTACTGATTAC